AGGAAACGACTCTCGGCAGTCACGGCACGGGGCCGACACAGCGCCGCCATGACGGCTCCAGACTGAACCTCTGACCTTCAACCTCTCCGCCAGCGCGCAGGTCACGGGCGTGGCTTCCGTCGCCCCGCCCACTTCCGCACAGCACTACCTGCGGGCGGGGCGCGGTGTAGCCTGCGCATACGCGGAGTTGGAGGCGAGCAAGTCCGTGGCTGGAGGTCCGGTGCTGGCCGCGGTCCGCTTCGTTTAGCGGGGACAGCGTTTTCGCCCCGGAAGTTTCGCCCTCCCAGGCATCGCGTGGGCCCGGTACCGCTGCACATGCTGTCCGGCCGCCTGCGCGTGTGCCCAGGTGGCCGCACGGCTCGGCCCCCACCGCCCTTCGGGTCTTTGTCGGACCCCAAATACGCACGGTCGGGCTCCCGGGTATTCGCTATGCCACTGGGCACTTCTTAATACGCCATGGATTGACTTATAGTAATTTTGTTCAGCGTCTGCGCCCCCATTTTGCTGTTGGACGACCGACACCGGCCTCGGACATCTGTGAAATCCTGCTCCCAGTTGGTCTCTCCCTGTCCACCCACGTTCACCAACACGAGGCTTCCCGAGACCCGCTTGTCATCCCCACATCTTACAGCCCTCCTAGGGATTGAGAGGCTCCGAATGGGCTTAAATAAGCGCCACGAGAGGCCCCACCCTCACTCGTGATTTTTCTCCGCGTTTTTCTCCCGATGTTAATTCACAGGTTTTGTCCACGCTGTTCAAAGCCGAGCCCAATCCCATATTGAACAAGTGTTTACGAATTAAGCTGCCCAACCATCTGCCTAACAATCATATTAATTAGTTCCCCTGGCTGTGATCTCATCTATGAAAAGGTGATGCTGCCACATCCTTGGGTAAAATTATTAAAGGAAATGAGCATACAATGCCAGCACTTACTGAAAGCTCTATAGACTACTAGTGGCGATATGGAGGTGATTAGAAATGCATGCCTCTTAAGCTTGCATGAAAACCTGGGGGAAAGGATGGGGCTAGCCATACAATGGGGAGATGTTAGTATCTCAAGTCTTTTCAGCCATACAGAAGAATACGATCATTAGGGAGTTCATGTAGAAGATGAGTGGGGACAGGCATAACATTTAAGGAGTTGAAATAAGAAAATACCAGGAAATAGGCAAACTGAAAAATAAGAACAGAGATCAAGCATAGAAACCAAGGGGGAGACTTTAAAGCATGTTGAAATGGGAGTGTTAAAATGAAAGATACTACTCACTTAAAAATATTCAAACAAAATTGTTTTTTGCTGTATTCTAGGAAAACCACATTAAAATAACCACTACCAGCCAATCTCACTAAGTAACATCGAAATTACATATGAGAGTTGGCAAGGATTTTAGTTGCCTTACAGCTTTTCTCTAAATATGAAATCCTGGCAGGTGACAGGCATATGCAGACCCCACCCTTGGGTGGCTTACCAATTCAGTGCGTTATTTTACCTTAGTTTGGTTCATTTGTATTTCAGAATGAGGACAAGATGAAAATTGTGAAATCTAAGGTTGCAAGTTTACTTGAAAGTTGATACCGCTTGCCCTCGTTGGCTTGGCTCAGGGGATAGAGCATCGGCCTGTGGATTGAAGGGTCCTGGGTCCGATTCTGATCAAGGGCATGACCCCCAGTAGGGGGCGTGCAGGAGGCAGCCAATCGATGCTTTCTCATCATTGATGTTTCTCTCCCTTCCTCTCTGAAATCAATAAAAAAATATTTTAAAAAGTGATACTGCCTTATAGTAACTGTAACTTCACATAATCCCTATAATTAATCAAATTACAATAGGACATTCACTAGTTAGTAGACAAATGTCTCAGGGCAAAAATATGATTTTTCATCTGGGTTTTCAGAGATATAAAGAAATGTGTACAGTATGAAAACGCAAATGAGTGACCAAAAGCAGACCAAGGAGAAGAGGGGCCTGAGGGAGAGGTAACAAAAGGGCACAGGAAACTGGTGAGGGGGGCAACGGGTAGTGTTCATTGTGTTGACTGTGGTGGTGATTTGGTGAATGTGTACATATGTTGAAACATTAAACTGTACCCTTAAATTTGAGTCATTTTGGTATGTCAATTATACCTCAAAAAGAAACAAGAAATCAATGTGATCCTGACAGGGCCTTCCCCAACACCCGCTCTGGCACATACACACACATCCACCTGCAAAGGCTCTGGGTGGACAGCACACAGCCTCCCGTTGGGAGTCACTGATTCAGTTTTGTTTGGTAGCTGCTTGGGTTTCTCCATGTCCAGGACATGGAGGGTCTGGAGAAAAGCTGTCCCAACTCAGGTGACACATACAAGACGACCCAAAGTATAGAATTTTTATTGTTTTCAAATGCTATACAAAAGAAAAATAGACAGTGTGCATTTCTTGATTAACAGATCCAGAAATAGTGACCCCAAATTAAACATGCTTTTTTCTCTATTTCAGTAGTTTGAGTTACCAAGATGATAATCCAGTGAGTTCTCTCCCAGTGATTACTTTGGCTTCATAAGCAAAAGAATTCTTTGTTTATTCCCACAAACTCCATAAACCAAAGACAGTTCCTTTGTAAGAAGGGGACATTTCAGAGGCGATTTTCTCCTCTGAAGCTTCTTGAATCCTTGAATATCTGAGAGTTTGCTCTCAAGTTGCTGTTTTCTTAGTGTCAAACATAAAACACAACAGAGGGAACTGTGAGTTCATAACGTGGAATCCTCACAAAGACCACTTTGAATATTTCCAAATCCATGTCTAGTTTTCTAAATTCACCCTCCCCCTACTTTGACTACTTTGTTTAAGAGGCAACTTACTATGCAATAGATTAAATCATTTTTAGATTAAGTGTAATGATTCTCTGATTTCTCCTTTCACAGCCACCGCCTATACCCCCGCACACCCATCCCATTTCTACCCCATTTCTATCACTTCTCTGCATTAGCTAGAGAGACTGGAGGATATTTCACTTAACTAAAAAGTTGCCGTCTTACTCCATTTTGCCTTGTTGAAAAGATAGTAACAGCAGGATGCTCAAGAAACATGATGAAAAGGTATTGTGATAAAAAAACTTAAAGATGACATAGTTGGTAGAAAAAATATAACTTAACAGTTACGCTGAGTAACCACAATATTTCTATTTAAAAAAGAAACATATTTCTACAGATCTCCTCGGGGACAATGCTGCAATGACCTTCACCTTAAATCCTCTATAAGGAAATAATTTATAATATGTTAGCCTAATCCCATTAAGTGATGATTTAAAGGGGATGGTAAAACACAATGCCCCCCTTTTTTAGCATAGACACCCACTGATTATTTAATACAACAAGCTGTTTGCAGACCACTGGTCTCAGTAATATCGAGATCTATACTATTGGCATACAGAATTTATTAAGCTTTTTACACATAATAGAGCAGAGTTCCTATTGCATCTAAAGTGCTAACAAGCTCTAATAATCAAGACGGGCAGCATGTTACTTGAGAACAGTCAACACTTGTGCATTTTCAAATGCGGTTTCCTAAGATAATTTCTGTCCATGCTTTTTAAAAACGCTTTAGGTCACTCCAAGCTTGGCAATTAACATCTGGCATAAACAATAATAAAACTATCACAACTTGATAAATAACAAATACAACATTGTAGGCCATACCATACACAGCAGAAGGAAAAGGTAGTGGTGACGAATCAGTAGCTGCTACAACTAACAGAGCACATGCCTCCATGCAGTTCCTTCCAGAGTATCTGGTGCACTCAGTCCTGACACGCAGTGTTGGAAGCAGGGCACAATGTCTGCAGAATCATGTAATAATTCCTCACACACTGAAAACGTGTCAGTAGAAAATGGTGAGTTGATTTTTATTAATGCATTAAATCCTGTGGAGTTATCACCAACCCCTTAGTATAAAATCTGTTCAAATTGTATTAGATAACTGTGTGTGCTTCTTATTTTTAAGTGGGGGAACTGAGTTAAATGAAGACAGGGATGATTTCCCTAATGTGACTGATTTTAGCATTTTACCTCTAACTGGGTCTAAAAAACTCCTGGCTTTTGAACTGATTATTTGAAGAGAGTGTTCCTATATCAACCTACTGATAATACAACATGCTTGATTCAGAATGTTATCCTGCATACTCTGAAACACAACTTTAATCCAGTAAAAAACAGGGCATAAGAACCAGTGCACTGAAATGATTACTGTCACAAATGGTGACAAGGATGTGGGGTCCCTCTCCAGTCACTAAGGAGTTTGAATTAATGTACATATTGTCACTTATAAAACTACTAGAGGCCCGGTGCATGAATTCATGCACGGGTGGGGTCCCTAGGCCTGGCCGGCGATCATGGCCGTTCGGGGCCATCTCGCCCAGTCCCAATCGGGGCCGTGCCAATCGGGGCCTGCTGGCCAGGGGGAAAAACAGTGGGAGGGACCACAGGGGGTTGGCTGTGAGAGTGCACTGACTACCAGGGGGCAGCTCCTGCGTTGAGCGTCTGCCCCCAGTGGTCAGTGCACGTCATAGTGACTGGTCAACCTGTAGTTCCGGTCATTCGGTCATAAGGGTTGCTTAGGCTTTTATACATATAGATAACTAGTGGGATGTAGAACTGATGTACTTAGTTTTCTGTCTTCAGGCACCCAAGATATAAGATAACCTCACACCCAAACAATGTCTATTCCACAATGTCTGCAGCTGGTAGTTCTTCCCTTGGAGGTGAAGGAAATTATGCTAAGACTTTTAATAACCAGGATTCAGAAAACTTAAAGAGGTTTGAAAAAGGAGGAAAAGAAAATGACATAGAAGACAAAGACCAAACTGCATCCCAGATCCAGAGCAATTTGGGGAAGCAGGAAAGCCATGCTGACAGCCTGCCGCTTCTCCAATCATCCTAGCGAGGGCCCCGGGTACCGCCCGTGTTTGTGTAATGGTGCTTCCTACGTCAAGGGCCTGAAAGGCACATTGAAGGGTGTTTCCCAGGGACAGAGGTGAAGATATTTTTATTTTGTTTAACCCACAGACTATTTAGTCAAAGGAATACATAAGGCGAAATGAGAGCACGTGGGGTGGGATTCACGGCGATGAACGCTGACAAGATGTGCTTGGGTCTCGCTGGCAGCATCTGGCAGTGGTGCAGGACAGTGGCCGGACCTCACGGGCCCGCCGGGGTCTGCTCTGGAAGAGGCTCCGTGGCCGTGGCACTAGCACTGGCAGTCGAATTCAAGACGTCTCCGAAATCACCGCCGGCAGGCTTGGTGCCCCCTACTTTAGACTTTTTAAGAAGTTCAAAAAGGAAGAGATATCATGAAACACACTTAGCTGTCTCTAAGAAATTACACATTTCTTTTCTTTTCAGCATTTAGGATGCTACCATGCTACAACGTACACTCAAAACACTGATTAAAACTGATCACCTTAAATGTATTAGTCATGTAAATAATAAAGTTATTAAAGTTCTTTAAAATAGTAATCTACCCACACCAAAGAGAGTTCAGGCAGCAAACAAGATAAAAAAACCATGTTCACCTCTCTACTTGCCTTTAAGTTTTCAACCTTCTCTTCAAATGATTTGAAAGTTGGGGAGTTTCTATGGAGAGAAAAAAATATATATATAGTAAAAAAAGAAAGCCACAAATGTTGAAGCCATCATTAGTTGACTGTATTCCTCTTAGCCATTACTGTCAGCAAAAGAACAGGTATCTCTGTCGACCACACAGGTGTGCAGGCGCACACACAGGTGTATTGTGGAAAACTGTCCACTTCTATTCTAAGATTTCTACAGTGATGCTTTTGGCCCAGAAACAAAGCCAGGCTAAGACATATAAACGGAGATACAGTCAAGTGCATGTGTGGTAACACACCAATTGGTCAGGTAACACACCAACTCTTGTCACTTCCCCAACCAACGTGTCACCGCAGGTCAGTTTAGCCTGGCTAAGGCACCATGCTCTAGAACTCCCGTTTAAGTCCACACGCTGCCTGGCACAACTCCTGAGTGAATCCACATCATCAAGCAGGACACGCCAGCCGGAGGCGGTCCTGTAACAGGGATCAGCTCCCCAGGGGGCTTCATAATAGAGGAAGAAGGAGCCCAGAAACCTGGCTCGGCCGCTTCACAAAGCTTCCCCGGGGCAGAAGCTCTGGCCCACGGAGAGCCCCTCCCACGCCTTCAGGCCCATCCACATTCATCCAGAGGGAACTAGTGCCTTGGTCACTCCCATGGGGTGGCTGCATGTTACTATCCACCCAACCTCAAATATCCTTCCTGCCACCAAGATGAAGGTGAGGGAGGGACAGGGCCTTCCTCCTTGCACAGTGCCCATGGGCAGCCAGTCCCAAGGTGTGGTCCTGGACTAGCTGCATCAGTAGCTCTCGGCAACCTGTTCACAATGCGGATTCTCAGGTCCCACCCTAGGCGGACAAAATCAGAAACTCTAGGGGGAGTGGCAAGCAGGGGGCCCTTAACAAGCCCTCCAGGTGGTTCTGCTGCCCACTGACAGTGAAGCCAAACAGGTTGTTGGAGACCCTCCACCTGCCTCTCTAGGGAGGTAGGTGAGGCCCTGACACGTAGATTTGCAAGGGCATCCTGATGAAAAAGGACAGAATTAAGTCACGGGTGGTTCCAAACGTCCCTGGGGGATGAAGGACCTGGAAACGGAGGGTGGAGAAAGGGGAGTGTGACTAAGCTACGGTGGACGGAGGTCCAGTCACCGGCATTTGTGAGAAGAAAGGGTTTATTTGATGAGTTGTGGCCATATTTTCAACGAAACAGATTTCAGATATAAAACAATAGATTTACAAAATAAAACAATTCTTTTTTAAGAAATCACAGCATTTAATGGGGCTCTCACACCTGTCCTATCATGCTAGTAGGGGCAGCCGAAAACTAATCCAGAGCCTAAAGCAGCGGCTTGTTTAGGGAGAACTCTGGCTCCTACTTCAGAAAGTTCCTGGTGATCATCTCAACAAAGACTAAGAAAGCAGAAGACTAACAACACTGTGAAACATACTTTACCTCATAGCGGGCATGCTAATTGAATGCTGAATGGAGCGTATACTAAGGCAGCATTAAAAAGAGAAAAATGAAGTTAGTACACGGGTGATGAGACATGATAAAACAAACAGAAGTCGGCTTTTAGAAGCATGTTCCTGTGGCACTGTGAAGAATTATCTACTTTTTGAGGTGGAGGGGGTCAAAGTTATTCTAATATGTACTTCTACTCCTGAGCCAGTAGCTAACAGCCAACAATTCAACCTTGCATGTTTACAGCATTGGTGGAAATTGTATCTGTTGGGCATCAAGCACCCGGCTCAGAAGTACAAGGTTAGGGCGGAATCAATGAAACCCAGATCACCCAGTCGGTTTGGCTCAGTGGTTGAGCGCTGACCTCTGAACAAGGAGGTCATAGTTGGATTCCCGGTCAGGGCACATGCCCAATTGTAGGAGCAATCCCCAGTAGAGAGCATGCAGAAGGCAGCTGATCAATGATTCTCTCTCATCATTGATGTTTCTATCTCTCCCTTCCTCTCTGAAATCAATAAAAAAAAATATTTAAAAAATGGAACCCAGGTCTTTGGGACTCCCAATTTAATGTTCGCCACCTCCCCTCAAAAATCCGTGCGCACACATACAGGTACACACACACACACAAGACAGGCCAGGGGAGGGCTCCTTGGCCATCTTTCCCCCACGTATTTTTTGTCACCAGAACAGGAAAGTTCAAAACGAATCGCCTGTTCGGTGATGTTAAGTGATTTACATACGCCTCCTTGGTAGTAGTCACACCAGTTTTCTAAGTAAGAGACACTTGTATTTCACATCAATTAAATGAAATGTTCTTAATGGTCATTCACATAACATTCAGCCCCTGTTTGACTAGGACCAACTTCTTACTCAAGGGCAATGCGTTCACTGACCGCTCAGGGTCAAGGTCGCCTCCTCTCAGCCGCCTCCCACAGAGGCCACCTCACAAGAAGGCCTTTCCTGGCTCACAGTCAGGGAATCCCACTGATGCTGTTACTGGGCTTAGAACACTCTGACAGCATTTTTGGTAAATAATTTCCTTTGGGTAAACTGGACAATTTAAGATATTAATTCTCTATTCCTTTTTAAAAATCGTGTGTGTGTGTGTGTGTGTGTGTGTGTGTGATTTAATTTTCTCAAAGACTCGGCTGTTACAAGTGACAATGTGTTTTCAGGGTAGCTCCCAAAACTAGCTTTGCATTAATATGTAATAATATGAAATATGATCTTGATATAAATCAAGATATGCTGGCAGCTGGTGTAGACAAGATAATGAGTAAACCAACCACTTGGACATCTTCAGACTTAATGTCTTCATAACACAGGAAAGGACCCACACACATTCTCTCTGTCCTAGAACGGTGGGAATCTATTCTGAGAGAAATCTTCTAATTCTTTGCCTGCTTGATGTTAGATCCATATTTGAAGGATAGAAATTAAAAATCAGTAGGACTCCAGATGTTACTGGCCCCTCCTGGGGACCCTAAAAAAGCTGCCTACAGCCAAACAGCCACACTGCCACTTCGGCCAGCATCACATGACACCTGGACCATAGCTGCCTTCCTGGTGATGTACAAACCGTTTGGACTGAATGGGAAAAAAAGAGCTCAGACGACTGGGATTCTCGCCCGAGAGGCTGCGATCAGGACACTCAGCCGCTGTCCGTCAGTGGCAGATCCTTGAGCTCAAATGTCCAGGAAGACATTTTGGGGCCCAGGTGCCAGCTGCAAGAATGCAGAGGAGCCCAAACAAGTAAAAAAAGAGCTATAGGTTTATATAAAGAAACACGTGTTTGTTTGTTTGTTTTTTAAAAAAAAAAGGAAATCTCCTTTGGAAATAAAGACAAATTAGCACTTCCTCTTATGTATACCAAAAATACTTGCTAATGAGGCTACTAAATTATTATATACACTATTAAAAACTTTAACATCGATGTTCCTCACCAGAACCAAGGGGTGGTTTAATGTATTTTTCTCAAAACATTAAAGCAAGAGTCAGTGCTAAGCACATGTATGTAGAAGGTAAGCAAACGAGAGCCTGGATTTGAACTCGCCAACAGGAAAGCTGGCCGTCCCCAGAGGGCCTCCCGGCTAACACTCTTCCCCGCCTCCCTCACTCACTGCACCTGCCTCTCAGGGCGTCAAAAACAGATCTCTCCTTTGTCTTCCCTGAGGACTCTAAAATCTTTATTGTTGAAAGTATTACATAGGTCTCTTTTATCCCCCATTGACCTCTCCCAGCCTGCTCCCACACCCCAGCACAGGCCCTCACCCCCCTTCTGTGTCCATTGGTTACGTTTACACGTATGCATACAAGTCCTTTGGTTGATCTCTTACCCCCACCCCCACCCCCTGCCTTCCCTCTGAGGTTGGACAGTCTTCTGTGTCTCTGGATCTATTTTTGTTCATTAGTTTATGTTGTTTATTATAATCTACAAATGAGTGAGACCATGTGATATTTGTCTTTCTCCGGCTGGCTTATTTCACTTAGCATGATGCTCTCCAGGTCAATCCATGCTGTTACAAATGGTCAGAGTTTCTTTTTCATAGCTGCGTAGTATTCCATTGTGTAGATGTACCACTGAAATGGGAGTTCCATTTTTAATTTTTGAGGAAACTCCATACTGTTTTCCCCAATGGCTGCACAAGTCTGCATTCCCACCAGCAGTGCATGAGGGATCCTTTTTCTCCACAACCTCACCAGCACTTGTCATTTGTTGATGTGTTGATGATAGCCATTCTGACAGGTATGAGATAGTACCTCATTGTCATTTTGATCTGCATCTCTCTGATAGATCAGTGACTTTGAGCGTGTTTTCATGTCTCTTGACCTTCTGTCTATCCACTTTGGAGAAGTGTCTATTTAGGTCCTTTGCCCATTTTTTTATTGGATGGTTTGTCTTACTTGTTAAGTTGCATAAGTTCCCTATAAATTTTGGAGATTAAACCCTTATCGGATTAACATTGGCAAATCTGTTCTCCACGCAGTGGGCTTTGTTGTTTTGTTGATGGTTTATTTTGCTGTGCAGCTTTTTATTTTAATGTAGTCCATTTATTTATTTTCTCCTTAGTTTCCATTGTCCTAGGAGCTGTATCAGTAAATATATTGCTATGAGATATGTCTGGTATCTAAGATTTTTATGGTTTCCCATCTTATGTTTAAGTATTTTATTCACTTTTGAGTTTATTCTTGTGTATGGTGTAAGTTGGTGGTCTAGTTTCATTTTTTACATGTATCTGTACAATTTTCTCAACACCATTTACTGAAGAGACTGTCTTGACTCCATTGTATACTCTTGCCTCCATTGTCAAATATTTAGTGTAATGGCTTGGGTAGATTTCTGGGGTCTTCTCTGTTCTGTTCCATTGATCTATCTTCCTGTTCTTGTGCCAGTACCAGGCTGTTCTGATTACAGTGGCTTTGCAGTTAAACTTGATATATGGTATTGTGATTCCTCCAACTTTGTTCTTCTTTCTCAAGATTGCTGCAGCTATTCAGGGTCTTTTTTGGTTCCATATAAATTTTTGGACTATTTGTTCTCGATCTGTGAAATATGCTGTTGGTATTTTAATGGGGATTGCATTGAATCTACAGATTGCTTTGCACAGTATGGACATTTTAATGATGCTAATTCAACCAATCCATGAACACAGTATACTCTTCTACTTGTTTATAACTCCCTCTATCTCTTTTTTCAATGTCTTATAGTTTTCCAAGTACAAGTCTTTTACCTCCTTGGTTAAGTTTATCCCTAAGTATCTTAATTGTTTTGTTGCAATGGTAAAAGGGATCGTTTGTTTAGTTTCTCTTTGAGAATTCATTATTCTAAAAAAGCCATCGATTTTGGGGTGTTGATTTTGTATCCTGCTACAATGCCAAATTCTTTATTAAGTCTAGTAGTTCTTTGGTGGAGTCTTTAGAGTTTTCTACTTTACAATATCATGCCATCTGAGAATAATGAGTTTTACTTCCTCCCTTCCAATTTGGATGCCTTTTATTTCTTTTTCTTGTCTGATCTCTGTGGCTAGCACTTCCAGTGCTATGTTGAACAGGAGTGATGAAAGTGGACATCCCTGTCTTGCTTCTGTTCTTGGGGAAAATGACTTTAGTTTTTGCCCATTCAGTCTGATGTTGGCTGTAGGTTTGTCATATATGGCCTTTATCATGTTGAGATATACTCCCTCTATTCCCACTTTGCTGAGAGTTTTTATCAAATGTGGGTATTGGATTTTGTCAAATGCTTTTTCTGCATCTTTTGATATGAATATGTGATTTTTGTCTTTCCATTTGTTTATGTGATGTGTCATGTTTATTGATTGATTTGTGGATATTGTCCCAGCCTTGCATCTCTGGAATAAATCCCATTGGTCATGGTGTAGGATCTTTCTAATGTAATGCTGGATCTGATTTGCTAATATTTTGTTGAGGATTTTAGCATCTATGTTCATCAGGGATATTGGCCTGTATTCTCTTTCTATGTAGTGTCTTTATCTGGTTTTAGAATTAGGTTTTAGAATTAAGAGCTTGGAAGTGTTCCTTCCTCTTGGATTTTTTGATTTGATTACTGCTTCTATTTCATCAGTTATTACTGGACTATTCAGGTTTTCTGATTCTTCCTGATTGAGCTTTGGAAAATTGTATTTTTCTAGGAATTTTTCCATTTCATCCACATTGTCCAGTTTGTTGGCACATAGTGGTTCATAGTATTTTCTTACAATCCTTTGTATTTCTGTGGTGTCAGTGGTTGCTTTTCCACTTTCGTTTCTGATTTTGTTTATTTGGGTCCTCTCTCTTTGTTTCTTGGTGAGTCTGGCTAATAGTTCATCAATCTTGTTTATCCTTTCAAAGAACCAGTTCTTGTTTTCATTGACTTTTTGTATTTTTTTCTTTAGTCTCTATCACTTAGACCAGTGGTCGGCAAACTGAGGTCCCTTGAGTGTGGCTCTTGCACAAAATACCATGTGCAGGCACGCACGTACAGTGAGATTGAAACTTCGTGGCCACACTCAAGGGGCCAAAGAGCCGCATGTGGCTCATGAGCCGCAGTTTGCCAACCACTGACTTAGACCATTTTTAATTGAACACTGAAGATACAGAATCCCTTATCACTGACTTCTTGCTTTTTTAAAGCACAATTTTAGCTTTATATGGTTCAATATTTAGACTTCATTTATCCCTGTCATTTACTCTGACCTGCAGGGCTGTGTCCCCAGGACAGAAGGGCCTCGGCCATAAGTCCCGTTTGCTTAAGACAAACAGCTGGATAGTGAGTGACCGAGAAGACCGTTCGCATGAGCAGGACAGAGATGGCGATCACTCAGCCTTCTGCCTGTACTCGGGGGACCCCTCCACCCTGGCCTCCTGACTAATGCGCAGCCATCTGTACGGGCAGGCAAGCAGTGCCCTCGGCATCACGGTGGCTCCTTCTGGAAGGCACTGTCTGGCCTGACATCTTTTTGATGGGTCTTCCCTTTTGGCCCAATAGACTTTAGTTTCCCTTTAACGCCCGGGAAACGTCCCTGTGTGCACAGTTAAAGAATATAACGACAGAAAAGAAATAATAGTAAAAACTTTAAGCTAGTTAAATAGGTACTAAAAAGAGCATAGTAGCATATTTTATCTTATGTGTGTTTTACCATACACACATTTTATCGTATGTATAGTCTGTCACATACATGAAGAACACTCGGAGTGCACTTAGGAGACGGAAACTGCCAGTGCGAGCCAGGCCGGCACGCGTGCACGTGGGAGCAGGCAGACACAGCCTTACGAGGGTACCAAAGAAATGAAAGCACCAAACAAAGTCAGATGTTAGAAGGGAGGGATTCTGCACACCATGGCAGAGAGGTTTCTTTAAAAAAATGAAAGTAAAAAAGAAATGTCAAAATCATATGCACAGCCCTTGAACCACAACATCCAACACTTCTTCCAATTCATTACCCATGGTCTACAAGAAACCCTCCCTTAAAACACAGGAACAGCACTAGAGAGAAAAGTATTCCAAATGCAAGAAAGTCAGGCAGCGGACGAACACGACCATCCAACTCGGCACCACAACCTAAGGAAGCACACGCCTCAGACGACAGCTGAGCCGCCTGACGGCGCGGACGCTCCTTACCTAAAGGAGTGGGAAAAGGCTTGCAATCTGCAAGAAGCCAGAGCCAGCATTAAAAAAGAAAGGAAGTTCGGGTAAATCTAAAACAATTCAATCACCCCCTTTTCCAAGTCAGGTTTGAGCTGGATTCTGAAATGCCACACAGCTGAGCCAGCACGACAGGAGCTGAGAGCATGACAGGGGTCTGTCATCGTGAGCAGGTTCAAGGACGCTGCACTCATCACCTTATGCTCAAGACAACGGCAGAACAAATGCAAAGAGCAAGTTCTTTGGCGTTCTGGGTACAAAGGCTACTAATACCCGGATTGCCAAAGCCAACAAAATTCTGGTTGTAAAATCTGTCCCCACAAATGAAGAGCACAGAGCCATGCAATCTAAGGGTTTTGTTTTTAAAACAAGTCATTCATGCCAACAGAAGCACAGCCAATTAAAGCCACACCCACCCTTTCCAGTGCTACTCTAATCCACGCAATGGGGGCACACACGGGAAGCGGGTTTATCAACATGGCCAGGAAAATTCTGCAGACTCAACAGAAATGCAAAATAAAAAGCAAGAGTGCAAAATCAATTTGGGCATAAGCAGGAACACAGATACGGCTTATAAACTAGTGCATAGCCGTGTACAGGTGAGTGTGCTACAGTGTCACTGCTGTGTGAAAACGCACCACGGAGAAGGCAAGGCAGGTCTCAGGCCACGCATGCGCTTTGGTGCTCCTGGACTCACCCCCAGGGAGACACCACGCTCGGCCAACGACAACTTGCGACCACAGGGACATACTAACTCCACATGATCAGGAAGGACTCAAAGGACAAAAGTTCACAACCAGAATTGTCCAAGAACTTTAAATGAATTCATAAGGTGACTGACTACTGTGAACACTATACCTAAAGGTTAGAGGGCCAGGCCTGGGGGACCGGCAGGGCCTGGTTTGGAGGCATGCCGCTGCCCGGGCACGGAATCCAGGGTTACCAGGAATCAGAGCCGGGGCCCTGGGGCACCCATAGCACACCGCCATCTGCCTCAGCCACAGAACGAGCCAGAAAAAACAGGACGTACTTTACGTCTTCCAGCTTCTTGGTGATGACCGAGCCCACCGATGCAAAAGCAGCCGATGCCTTCTGTCCGGCTTGAGACAAGGTTTCAGACGTCTTTTTGTATCTGCATGGAAGTAGAACAGAACAGATCAAAGAAAAGTAAGTGAACCTTTATTTCTAGAACATCTAAAACCCTTCCCAACCACCGGTCGGCCTCATCATGGCATCCGAATCCTTAACCATCACTGTGGACACGACCTTCTGCGTTGCCCGGACAGCCAGGACAGAGGCCTGGGAAGGGCCAAGGTTAGGGCGAGGGCTAAAAGTAATCCCAGAGCAACAGTGACAATGAAGCCAGAGGCTGAAAGAAAGGACACCTCTTACCCTTGCCTTTGCCAGGTAAGCCAAACGGAACAAAAATGAAATCAAATTCCTCACACACCTTCTACCAGTTTCTCCCCTAAAAAGGGGCCAGAAGTAAGGTCGGCCCACGTGCACTTTATTATCGAAATGAACAGAATGAGCATAAAAAAATAGCTAAATGCTGCACGTCTGCAGAGCCACCAGATAAGGGCTGGTGGACTCTCACCAGAGAGCCTCAAGGTCCGATATTTAGAATAACCGTGACACCTGACTGTGATGTTGGCTGGGACACGCAGGGATGACTCCCGCCTCCCTCTCTCATCGCCCCAGGGATCAGCAAAGGGGAAAACAGCAACAGAACAAAAGGATACGGTACCCACAGCAAAGGGGTCCAGAATCCACATTGTAGGAAAGAACGGCCCTTTTGCAATCAATATGAAAAACAAACACAGTTTAACGGTTTCCTGCATGTCTCCCCACTGCCTCCATGTCTGGGCAGAAAGGGGACCCCGGGGGTGGGCACCCTGGTGCAGTCATGTCAGATCAGTGGGCCTCGCTGCTGCGGGTCCCAGCTCAACAGGTGGGACTGAATGCAGGTGACAGAGAGCACAGCTCGGAGCCTAATGCTAGCCTTATGCTCCTCCTCGTGTCGGAAACAAAATGCATCCTGTGATCTAAATGACTAAAAGATGAAGGGGCGGGCCTCTGCCGCCAGCACGTGTCAGAGGGGCTGACCCACAGGCCTCCTGGGAAGTGGAGAGCAGGGCAGAAGGACCCTGCCTCCCCCTTTCTGACAGGTATGTGACTCTCGACTTCCCTGGTCCCATCTCCTGGTCCAGGGTTCTCTCACCACCCATCTGTCCCGTTACTCCGAGAACTAAATGCCATGTAAGGATCTGGCAAGTCAACACCTAACGCTTTTGGAACTTAAACGGTATTTCCTTGACTCGTGTTGAGGCTGGTTTTCTTCTTGTCCCTGCAACAGTCGGAAAGGCCGAAGTCACAGGAGCCAGGTACACTTGAGAACTAGGGGGAAGGGCTCGGCTTAGTGCAGGGACAAGCTGCAGGACCGTCCTCACTGCCTTTCTAGTCCCGCCCCAGACAGAAGGGGCAAAGGCGCCCTTTAACTCTCCGGACCAGCGTGTGGTCGGGCACTTACGCAGGCGTTGCGGTCACGTCCTGCCACCCTTTGGCAATGTTCTGCCGGAGTTCCTGGAGGGAGCTGATCCCCAGCTTCCGCTTGATCTCCGCCAGGTGCTTCTCCTTCGCGGCCAGCACCTGCGACAGCGTCTGGATCTCCTCTTCCACCTGCAGGAAGAGGTCGCGGTGAGAACACAGCAAGGTCATTCGACGAGGTAAGGTTGTTAGTGCAAAACGGTACTCCAAATCCTCACGTCATTTCGAAACGCTGTTTGACCACTGTATCTGTCTCTTGCTATATAACATAGGCTACGCTGTTAAATAAATGGTGATGTGCTCCTCTCTCCTGTGAGGCTTCTTTCCTCTCCCGCTATTTCCATGTGGCGGTGCCCTCAGCGGGCCTGCGCCCTCTCCCCTGTCCCTGTGCGTCCTCACTCAGCTGTCTCCCAGGCTTAGGACTCAAACCTTCACACAGGTAATATTCACATCATCCTAACATCCCTCGCCTGACCTCTGGCCCACATGTCTTGCTGGACATTGCTCCTCGAATGCCCGTAAAACCCGGTCTTTGCAAACTCAATTTCAAGCTAATCTCCATCTCCCACCAAAACATGCACAACACCCAGCCTCTCTGCATACACCGTACGCGTTTGTATAGGAAACGTCAGGCCCAGTGCCTGCCAAAGCCACAGTCACAAAGAAATCACACTGTCTCCCTGAGCGGCCGGTCCCCCTGGAGTCCCTGTGGGCCTGGTGCTGACTGGCCAGCCTCAGGGAGGTGGTGGAAGCGGGCCCGGCTCCAAGGACAGCAGCCCCCCGTGTGGCCAATAACAGTGAGGTGCCTGGTGTGAGGAGGTGCCTGGCTCATCGAGGCCTCTCTCGAGTCTCTGGCTGAGACACAGGCACCCCGGGAGCAGAGCGGGAAAGACCTCGGTGAGGAAGCCTGAGCACAGGCAGGTCACGGGGAGGCTGACAGGGTCTCATTTTTGGATCAGGCTAATCCCAGCCTTTTAGAATGAGTGAGGAAGGTTTCACCTCTTCTCTTCTGTGGGAGAATTCACTGGCACTCATTCTTCCAATGTTTGGTAAAATCCACCAGTAAAACCATCTGGTCTTGTACTTTTTTGGGAGGTTTTTTTGATTACTGATATAATCTCTTTACATGTTGTGAGTCTGTTCAGGTTGTCTGTGTTTTTGGAGGATGAGTTATGACCATTTGTGTGTTTTTAGGACCTTGTCCATCTTATCTAGGTCAAGATGGACAAAGCCCCAACACAAGGCTCAGGGGGCGCAGGGAAGGGTGCGCCAAAGGAACCTGACAGCTCTAAGGCCTACACGTAGGAAACAGCAAGACTCAAATCAATGCGATGACTCAAAACATAGCTTACAGGACTAGAGAAAAGAAAAGACAATCAAACCCAGAGCTAACAGAAGGAAGGGAATAATAACAGTAAGAGTGAAGGTAAACGAAACAGAGAACAGAGAAGATCAAGGAACCCACTGGTTCTTTAAAGAAATCAACAAAATTGACAAGCCTTTAGCTGGAATGACAAAAAATGAAAGTGAAGTCACAGATAACTAAAATCAGAAATGAAAGTGGCAACATCACTACTGACCTTACAGGTTAAAAGAGAATAGTACTAGGAACAATTGTACGACAACAAACCATATACAGAAATTAACTCAAAATAGATCAAAGGCTTAAATATACACTCTAAGAGTCTTAGAAGAAAACACGGATAAATCTTCATGATCTGAGTTTTGGAAATAAGTTCTTAGATATAACACCAGCAATTAAAGAGAAACTAAACTAGACTTCATCAAATGTGAAACTTCTGTGCAATAAGACACTATGAAGAAAAAGAAAAGGCAACATATAGAAGGGGAGAAAACACACTTTCTTGCAAATCTCATAAAGAGCTCTTATCTCAACAACAAAAAGACCAAAAAAAGTTTTTGAAAAACTGGGCAGAGGATCAGAATATACATTTCTCTAAAGAATATATGCAAACGGCTAATAAGCACAAGAAAAGATGCTCAATAGCACTGGTCACTAGTGAAACAGCATCAAAACCACAAGATATCACTTAATACTCACTAGGATGGTTATAATAAAAAAGACAGAAAATGGCAAACGCTGGCCACAAGGACGTACTGATGGGCATGTGAAATGGTGTCCCTGCTGCGGAAAACAGTTTTGATGGCTCCCCAGAGTCCTGTGGAATAACCGTATGACACAGAATCTCCAAGTTTATAGCTAAAAGCACTGAAATTAGGTACACAAACAAGTCCTTTGACACAAATGTGCCTCGGTATCTGTGAGTCAAACGGTGGAAACACCCAAATGTCCACGGATGGATGAATGGATAAACAAAATACGGCAGATTCAGACGATGGGATATCATCCAGTCATGAAAAGCAGTGAAGAACCAACACATGGGACAGGAGGAGGACGCCCACGAACATGCTGAACAACGGAGACCAGGGACAAGGTCGCGTGTCGAAAAATTCTATTTCTACGAAATACCCAAAACAGGTAAATCCATAGAAACAGATCAGCAGGGGCTGAGAGAGAGAGAGAGAGAGAAAGAAGGTTCAAAGGTGCCTACATCCAAACCACAGCCCAGGGTAGAACAAGGTCATGGATGCAGACAAAAAGCCAAGGGTATCAAACGCAGGAAGACCCGTCTCATCCATTTCTCATCACCCTCCTTCCAGACCCACGTTGCCCATATATACCTTCCCTCGTGCAAAAACACAGTGATTCTCTCTCTTCTACCTGCTCTTCCTGCTCTAGGACAAGTGACCACACGCTGCGTTCTCTCCCTCGGAACTGACTGTAAGATGTTACCAAGGGCTTCAGAAAACCAAACGGTGCTTTGCCTTAAGTGCAAGTTCCGGAGGGAATACTCCCCTACCTTTGCAAGCTCGCTCCTCAGCTCTTCTTGCTCCTCCTCGGACAGGGTCTCCGTGACACTGATCGTGGCAGCAGCATCCTCTCCAGCCTCGGGGACTGGGTCTGTTCTCAGCAGACCTTGTCGGGGTTACAAAGAAAGGCTGTAAGACATGCGAGCTGAGCAGTCTTCCTTTCCACCCACCCCCGACCCAGCCAGAGTCACGCAGTGAGGGTGGACCACGCATCATCTGCCTGCCCCTTGAACCAACCCAGTCTGCCCAGAAAGGGCCACAGGAGACTCGGCGCTAACCGCGAAAAACCACCAGCTTCGACTCTGCCAAAGCTGGAATTTAGAAAGCACAGCATGTGCTCAGTTTCTGTTCATGTCCTCAGTCATGATACAGTCACTGCGAAGCCGAGGAGTGACAAGGCCAGGAATGAAATCTTGGCGAGGCTTGCGATCCTAAACCAGTGACTCGGCACCACTAGTAATTCTCAGGAAGCGGGGTGGGTGGGGGCGCTCCAGGAGGCTCTAGCTTCCTCTGGCTGTGAACCCACACTCCACCCCGCGGCGAGGGGGAACCGCGGAGCACTCGGCCTGTTTCCTTCCACCAGGGAGTGGGTGTAGGAAACACCTTCTCATAGCTTTTATGTGTGTGTGTGTGTGTGTGTGTGTGTGTGTGTGTGTGTCATGCACTCACATACAGGGTAGGGCAAAAGTAGGTTTACAGTTGTTTGTATGGAAAATAATAC